TGAGCAGGAAGAGCTGTTTTATACACTGACAGCACCGCTCGGCAGCCCTGGCCCCCCCTCCTTTCCTTTGGCTCTCCCCAGGCGGCAGCTCTAAGGTTTCACCCTCCCTGGCGCTCTGAGCCGAGGAGCACCTGGCTGGGAAGCACTTTGGCTGCGAGTGACATATGTTTATGTTTCACAGATACAGAAGCTTAGATTTCCCAGTCACGCCTGGAGCTGAGGATCATGCATAGTCCATCGGCTGTCAGGAAGCAGAGCTGCAGGAGCAAGGTCCTCATCTGAAGTGGAGGATGGAGAGTAGGAACAGCACCAGCAACGCTGTCTCTGCAGTGAGTATCCCATCGCGGAGTCCCCGTTCTGTGCTTGCTTGATTCCTCTTTTGAAGGAGCTGAGCTCCTGCTGTTCCCACGGATCCCAATAAGATTTTGTTCATCACCTGCGTCTCCAGGGCCCATCCCAACCTCAGCACCCCACAGTTCAGCTCCTCTAAGGCAGCTCACTCTGTCCAGAGTTTCTTGTAAGTGCCCAGAGTTACATGGCATAAAACTATGGCGTAACAAGGCAGGGTGGTCAGGTTAGAGATGCCAAAGATCTTCCACGCTGCAGAGCCACTCGGGATACGTGTGCACGTGTGAACTGCAGCCTGCCGAGGAACAGGAGTCACTGGATTTCTTTATTTGCACCTTTCCCACCTGAGGGAATTTCTTTAGCTATTGAAAACCTGCCCGTTACCATAGGGCTTGGGCTCTGCTCTGTTTGAATTGATGAGCTTTCAGCTTTACGGAGTTTTAACTTTGTTAAGACTTGCTACTTTTCTATCTACCTTCTGTCTGGAAATTACGTATTACCAAAAAAGATCAGTAACTGACCCGGAGGCTTGAAGAGCCCGTTCCTTGTGCGGCTGTAGCAAATCTAACCATGGGCATTTATTGAATTTCTCTATGTGCTTCAAAGGATTAAGAAACAGGTTATTTTTTTAAGTGTGTTTATTATCGAAAGCCCATTCTTTCTGCTTTGTAAAAAGTATTTTATGTGCCATTAAGTTGAATTGAATTGCTTCAATATAAGAATTAAAGTGAATTTTAATCAAGCCACTAGAAGTGCCACATGACTGCCAAGCTCTTTTGCTTCAAGTAACAGCTTGGTCTGCATGGAGAGCAACTTATCAAGAAAACAAAATACAGCCAAATATACAGAGGGGCAGGGAAGCAGGGTCACTCCGCATGGGGCCTGTTTCAAATGCTGATGGTTGTCCTGGGGATTTCTGCTATAAACCCAAATAATTTAATTTGCTGCTAAAGCGCAGCAACAGCCTGTTTGTGGAAAGCTTCCTGCTCCAGCCCTTCCTCAGCAGGTTTGCAGTGTTTCCATGCTTCCCCAGCCACAGGAGGAAAGTGCTCGGCTATGGGAGTACTGGTCACCGGGATGTTGGATCTGAAACTCCAGCACTGTGGGATAAAACCAACATTATTCCAGAGCTGCTGCGATATTCTGGCAGTTCTGCATTCAAACCCCAGCAGTTTGCACAGTGATTTGTGTCGCGAGTAGGAAGTGCGTGTTATGGTGAAGGATAACCAGGGTTGATTTTAACTCCTTTCTTTTGCCTTGGCTCCCAGGACAGGAGCGCCGCAGCACACCTCACAGCCCCATCCAGGACATTCTGGATCATCTTGTCCGTTGCCTTGTTTTTTGCAGTTGTTGGCATCAGCATTGTGGGGGTTCTCAGCTTCTCCCCCAGCTCTGCCCAGGTAAGGGATCCCGATCCAGACAGGAGACCTCCTCCTGCCCGCAGCCCTGATTTGTGTCAGAAGCACTTGCCGGGAGAGAGGCACGGGCTGAGATCAGGGCTGGGTTTGGCCAGTTACCCCATCGCAGGCAGCCTGCAGGCAGAAGGGCAGGAAGGTGCTGGCAGCGCTGCA